AAGGAGCAGGTGCGATGAGCCAAATGAAACCGCCTGCAGGCCGGGACGACGAGACCCAGGCATTAGCAGTAGCTAGAGCAGAGGAGGAACTGCTGCGAAACTTCCAGAGCAACAAGCAGAGGATGCAACACTCCGCCTCCCGCGAGCATGCCAGAGAAGCAACCGGTGTCGGCACCGCCAAATGTGCAGGGACCCGTGTTTGTTTTCGGCGAGACTGAGGAGGAAACGGCTACTCCGAAGAGAAGCTTTGATGCTGTGAGCCCCGATGGGAACCAGTCAGGAACGCACAAGAAGCAGAGAGTGGACACTAGCGCACCAGCACTAGCCGAAAAGCTGGGGAAGATGCTAGACGAGATGATCGCCAAGTTCACGGATACCAAGACAAACAACAAAAAGGTGGTCCGCCACGTCACCCAGGGGACAATCGACTCCATGATGGCGATGAAAAAGCTGCAGGTCGACATCAGTGCAGCGCTGGCCGATGGTCACACCAAGGGCTCTACCTCGAGCGTAAGCCAGCAGACCACTCCCACGCTGACAGCCAGGATCCCTAAAGCGGCCTGTACCACCGGGGCAGGAAATTCGGCATGGCAACAGGTCAGGGCCAAGCCTAAACCCAGGAATCCCCAACCGAGACAGGAGAGCAGCGAACCCAAAGGGACTCGAGCACCAAACGCTGTCATGCCCAGGAAGCAGCGCGCCGACGCAATTTTAATAAAGTGCAGCGAAGGCTCGTACGCAGATATGTTGAAGCTGGTCAAAACTGAGCCCTCCCTCCAGGGACTCAAAGATAATGTTCAAGGCTTGCGAAGAACTGCAAATGGCGGACTCCTATTGAGAATGCAGAAGCCTCAGGACCCGTCCACACAGCAGCTGCAGGCAGCACTCAGGACGGCCATATCCGATAAAGCAGAGGTGGCGGTCATGCAGGAAACTGTGCAAGTGGAGATTCGCGACCTGGACGAGATGACCAGCGGCGATGAAGTCACTATGGCTCTGTTTGCCGGAGAGGATTCAGACATCGCAAGCAACGCTGCACCTAGGATGCGGAAGGCGTTTGGCGGCACGCAAACAGCAACCGTCAATCTCAGGCCCGATCATGCGCGGCGACTGCTCGATAAGGGCAAAATCCGAATCGGATGGGTCGTCTGTCGCATAAGACAGAAGACCGAGCTAAGGAGGTGCTTCAAATGCATGGGCTATGGGCATACCTCGACGAGATGCAGGGCCTCAGACTCAGTAGCCAAGGCCACACAAAACTCCTGCTTCAGATGCGGGGAAGAAGGCCACAAGCACTACAAGTGCCAAGCCAAGCCCAGGTGTATCCTATGCACCAGAGGAGGCAAACCCGCGGGTGAAGCTGCGCACGCTACTTTGAGCAGGATCTGCCCTGAGTACCTGAAGGATGCCTTTAGAGACATCTTGCAGGAGATCGCCCGAGACGCCCGCGGAAGATCCCCAGTACTAATCGCTGGGGACTTCAATGCGTGGTCCACCGCCTGGGGGAGCTCGAAAACGACCCAGCGGGGAACCATCCTTCTGGACGCCCTGGCCACATTAGACGTTTGTCTCCTGAACGATGGAGCTAGATGCACCTATAGCAAGGCAGGCAGAGAGTCAATCATTGACCTGACTTTCGCCAGCCCGGAGCTCTGCCGGACCAGCCACTGGAAGGTCACGGATCTGCTCACATACAGCGACCACGCAGCCATTATCACCCAGACGACGCACAGCCAGCAGGGCCCGTCTCTCCGGCAATCTGCGTACAAGGTACACACCCTTAACGCAGATACACTCCTAAGCAGTATGGATGGCAACGTCATCACTGGCGACGCCAACACCTGCGCCGACATATTAGCTGCGAGAATCAAGGCTGATTGTGATGCCGCCATGGCGAGCTCCACTAGAGGAAATGGAAGGAGACCAGTCCCCTGGTGGAATCATGAGATATCCGTCGCCAGGAGCGAGTGCCTCTCTGCAAGGCGAAGATGTCAACGAAGTAGAGGGCGTCCCACGCAAGCGCTGTTCGAGACACGCTACAAGGAGAAGAAAAAAGCCCTCAAAATCGCTATTAAGACGAGTAAGAGCAGGTGCTTCCGAGAGCTGTGCGATGCAGCAGACCAGGAACCCTTCGGCTCGGCCTACAAGCTGGTCATGGGCAAGCTCTACAGACCGCCGACGCCAACCTCCCAGGAACAACTTGGAGCTATAATCTCCACGCTGTTCCCGTCGCAGCCGCCCCTCGTGCTGCCAAACTTAGCTGCGAGTGAAGCGATCTTCACCAGCGAGGAGGAAATACTGTGCGCGGTGGCCAGCAGCAAAGCAGCCAAAGCCCCGGGACCCGATGGCATTCCCAACGCTGCACTTCATGACATAATGAAGTCATTCCCAAGCCTATTTGCACAGGTATACAACAGGTGCATTGCGGAGCGCACTTTTCCAAGAGTATGGAAGCAGCAGAGACTAGTGCTCATCCCTAAACCAGGCAAAACGAATGACGACCCGTCCTCATATCGCCCCCTGTGCATGCTCAACACACTGGGGAAGATATTTGAGCGCATAATCTGCCACAAGTTGGAGAGAGATATCGAAGAGCGTGGAGCCCTATCGAATCAGCAGCACGGTTTCCGGAAGAAGCGGAGCACGATCGACGCGATACGAGAGGTAACGCTAATGGCAGCAAACGCGATTGAAGGCGAAAGATGGCAGGGAGGCACCAAGCAATACTGCCTGGTCTGCACCCTAGATGTCAAAAACGCTTTCAACTCAGCAAATTGGAGCTTAGTCCTGCAGGCACTCCAACACGGCGGCATATCAGGGAACCTCACCCTCCTGATAGCGGACTACTTCAAAGATCGCGTCCTTCTGTACACATCCGACGACGGCAACCAGATGCACCACGTGACAGGTGGTGTACCACAGGGATCTGTTCTTGGGCCAATCCTGTGGAATGTCATGTATGACGGGATCCTGAGACTTCCACTACCAGATGGCTGCGCCGTAGTAGGGTTCGCTGACGATATAGCGCTGGTCACGGTGGAGAAGCACCTGTCGGATGTCTCTGCTAAGTGCAGCCTTGCAATCGACATGATGATGTCTTGGCTGAAAGACAACGGTCTCTCGCTCGCCGAACACAAAACGGAAGCAGTGCTCATAAGCAGTAGAAAGACCGTAGAGAAGGTCACCTTCCGGGTCGGCTCGACATACGTCGAGTCCAGTCCGGCGATCAAGTACCTCGGAGTCATGATCGACCATAGGCTGAATTTTAAGAGCCACCTCGAGTACGCAGCTGCCAAGGCATCCAAGGCCACGGCCGCTATCTCTAGGATGATGGCCAACACCCGTGGCCCAAAGCAGCATAGCAGACGATTAATAGCTACAGTGGTGACCTCGACCATCTTGTACGCCGCTCCGATTTGGGCGGAAGCCATGAGGACTGCCAGCTACAGCCGGGAGTGTAAGTCTGTCTACAGACGCTGTGCTTTGCGCATCTCGAGCTGCTTCTGCACGGTGTCAGAAGAAGCTGCATTGGTGGTATCGGGAGCAATCCCAATAGACCTACTGGCAGAGGAGCGCAGGACTGGGAATTCAGGTAGCAGAATCCAGAGAAGCAGCACCATGGCTCGATGGCAGGATAGATGGAACAACGCGAGCACAGGACGATGGACCTACAGGCTCATCCCCGATCTGGTTCCCTGGTTGCAGAGACGACATGGTCAGCTGGACTACTACACCACGCAGATCATCACAGGACATGGCTGCTTCAAGGCTTACCTGCACAGGTTTAAGCATGAGGTCGACCCGTACTGCGACTACTGTGGCGGCGCTTTTACTGAGGACGCGGAGCATGCATTCTTTGTATGCCCCCTTTTCTCGGCGGAACGAGCCGCGCTGGAAGCGTCAATGAACTGCCGCCTGACACCCGACAACTTAGTCTGCTGCATGATGGAGACCCCCTCCAAATGGGATGCGGTTGCTGAATTGGCAGCATCCGTGATGCGAGAGCTGAGGCGCCGGGAGCAGACCCGTCGCACTGAAGGCCGATGAGCGGCATTAGGACCGCCAGCCGCCCCCGTGAAGTATAGCTTTGCGGCAGTCCCACGGGTGCGGACTCTTCCACTCTTTCCCTTTTCTGTATATTACACTTAACTCTATATTCTTTTTTTAATAAAAAAAAAAAAAAAAAAAAACAGAGTCAAAGTGAGAATGTGATCAAGATAAATGAATAGAACAGTTTCGTGAAAAACAGGACAAGTTTCGTGAAAGACAAGACAAAACAAGACAAGTTTCGTGAAAGACAGAAAATATTTAAAGACAATAGAAACATAAAGTGCGGAATCAAAACAGCAATGAACAAGTATACATTTGGCTAACGAAAAGGGCTGTGAGTAGGAGCACAGCTAGCCGCGGGCAAATAAATTTCTACCATCGGGTTGCCAGTGTATATTGTAAAAACAAGGTGAAAGACTTCCTGCAAAAATTGTCGAACTTATGAATAAATACAATTTACGAAGAAAATCAAATAAAATGAGTTCAGGAGAAGAAAGTAATACTGCAGATGTGACAGTGAGCAGAGGAAATAGCATGAAAGACGATATAGCCGCCATTTTGGTAAGCTTACAACAACTAAATACTGTGGTAAGACAGAACAAACAAGACATAAGGAAAATGAATCAACTCATGACTGCTGAAGTGCAAGAAGAAGAAGGGCGTTTTAGTAAGGAAAAGATTGAAAATACCCAAGGACTAGATCTACCAAATGTTAGGATTAATTGTGACACCGAAACTAATATTTCTACTTTACAGATAACTCCAAGTTCATCAACGTCATCCATAAAGATCTATGATCTACCTGTTTTTTCAGGAGTGTCTGAACAATGGCCATTTTTTTTTTTGCCAATTTCAACGACACAACTAGGGAGTTTAATTACAGCAATCGTCAAAATCTCATTCGTCTACAAAAATGTCTAGTTGGAGATGCTAAGGACGCCGTATCAGCAATGTTGATATATCCAGAGGATGTACCAGTAGTAATAGACGAATTACAATTCCGATTTGGTCGTCCGGAAATGCTTGTAAAGTCGCAGATTGCCAAGATAAAAGAGTTTCCAAAGATTGCGTATAACAGACTAGATCAGGTAATTAATTTATCGACACATGTACGTTGCGTCGTAGCCTTTTTGTCATCTGCCAACTGTACGAATCATCTAAATAACCCAATTCTCCTAGAAGAACTTGTAAATAAGTTACCGACAGACACGCAAATAGATTGGATTCGGCATATTGACTCCTTAAACACCGATCCCACAATTGGAGACTTTTCACTATGACTGAGTAGACTTGCCAGAATAATAGGCAGATTACCCATAACTGACACATCACCTAAACAACGATCTTTTAAACCTATGTTTTTCATGCCTAGCAAGCGAACACAGTGTTTTGAACTACGCATCTAAAGGAAGATGTGGTATTGACGGTTGTACTCGAGTTCACCATAAAACTTTACATAACGCAGTTCCAGGGGCAAGGTCCAATCAAATAAGTGAGCAGCAGCTAATTGTCGAAAGTCCTCACTTGTGGAAAATTAAAATCAGGAAAACAATTATTCAAAATTATACCCGTTATATTGTTCGGCCCATATGGTAGTTTCAGTACATTTGCCATGTTTGACGAAGGAAGCGCCGTTACTTTATTGGAAGAGAATATAGCAACTCAACTTGGTTTATCTGGACAACGTCAATCTTTAAACCTACAATGGTATGAAAATAAGGTAGTTACAATGATATCAAAGAAAGTTTGTTTTGAAATAGCCGATAGTAATAGTACAGCTTGATATTGTATAAAAGGAGCACAAGCAGTATCAGATTTGAATTTACCAACACAGACTTTTGGCAAGCTCAACACAAGCATTTAAGTAACTTGCCAGTCGTCGAATATAATAATGCCAAACCAAGTATTCTCATTGGATTGGATAATGCTCATCTCGGACTATCAAAAACTATTATTGGTGACTGCATTACTCATCCAGTTGCAATTAGAACCAAATTGGGGTGGTTAGCATATGGACCCACTAGAGAATGTTGTTCTAATAAACATTTATTACACATAAAATCGGACCCTCTACATGAATTAGTAAAAGAATATTTTTCCACTGAACATTTTGGTACAAATGATTTGCCGTTACTTGAATCTACTGATGATATTAGGGCTAAGGAAATCTTATCGCAAACTACACATTATAAGTGTTCAGGTCAGGAGCTTTCGTTTCCCCCCGCGCGACTCCGAAGCGCTCCCGCTTCTTCAAAGCTCCTCAGCGCGCTCTCGCTCTCAGCTTGCGCTCTTGCGCTTTCGCTCTTCTAGCGGACGCTTCGGCTCTGGGCGATCGGCGCACGGCTAAGCGGCCGCTCCAGCTTTCCTAGGTTCTGATCTCTCACTCCCGCTTGTATATTTTAATTACCTATGTGAACTCGAATAAAGCGGACCAAGTCCACGAATTAAATAGTGAAATAACCACGCCCCCTGGCCTACTACTTTTTTTCTTGCGGTGATATTCGTTTGGTGGTTGTTTTCTTTGACTGCGTCGAGGGAAGTGTTTTATACTTATCCTACGGAATTGAAGGAAGAAGTTCCCCCCAGCCGAACATTTTGGTCCTACAGAGCCGGATTTTGGATTTTTGGATTCCGGATTTTTCCTTCCACACTAGCAGTTCTCAGCGTTTCTTATTTCCCAAGATAAGTACGAACCAGAGAACGTCAAGGGGTGTCACTTTTTGGCACCCGAATCACACTTATAAGTTTGGAGTGCTTGTCGCACTCACAAACAACAAGAATAGAACAACACACCCAAACGCACAAATCGCTTTGGGTGTTTCGTGTTTTTGCATTTCGTCACTCACTCAAACAGTATGCATAGATTCTATTTCACCAGACACTCAAAAAATGTTGCGCAGATAAGTGAACTGCACAATGCACTCAAAGCAAATGGACCAAAAGCAACGGTAGAAAGAAAAAAATAATAATTATAAGCATTTGTTATTTTTATAATGACTTTCTTAAAAACATTAAAATTAAATACGCGCAATGAAGCAGCAAAACACATTTCGCTCACTCCTTTTGCTTTAGCATACTGATCGGCGTCAACTCATGTATACATGCAGAAAAGAGCACGAAATCGTTTTGCGAGTGTGCGTATGAGCATGTCCGAAAATGTCAGTGCAAGGCAACACACCTTATTTAAGAGTGCCGATCACACTCTAAGTGCCAGAAACGCACAATGATTCGGGTACACTTATTGTTTGGGTGTACCCTTGCCGTTCTCTGGTACGAACTATTCCGTCGCCCCCTCGCTGCCGGTCTTCAGCAGTAGTCCGAACAATTAATTTCGGTCACTCTGCTGCAAGATTAATTTTCCGTGTCGACTCCAAGTGCGAGTTTTCCTGACAACGGCAGTTGAGGAATTTTCCATTTTTTTTCCATTTCCTAGAATTTGCAAATTTTTCAATCCGTCTCCGTTTTGAACGTCGCCATATTCTTTTTATTCCGCTTTCCTCTATACTTATTGGCATTTATCCGTACATCAATGTACAAAACTACATAAGAATAAAATTCATACATATCGGTTTACATAAAGACTTTAATTTTATTTCACACAATAGAAAATAAAATTCCAATAATAAAAGTTAATATTAATCCAGATACAGTTCACTGCTAACATCCATATATATTTATATTATTATAATAAATCCATAAATTATATTTTCTTCATATAAAACATATATATTGCATATTATATTTTCTTCCCCATACACATACATACATCCCACGTACATTTTAAAACAAAAAAAATAATAATAAAAATATAATAAATAAAGAATAAAATATTGAGAAAAATTTTTAAAGCCAGTGTCCGTATTTTTTGTGCATTTTATTGGTGCGCCTTACATAGTTCCGCTGCCGCCGCGACATCTACATACATACATACATACATACATACATAACCAAGAGCTTTTACATTGCCGGCAGCGCATCCCAACGAATATTGAGTTGAGAAGAAAGGTGTTAGGTGTTCCGATCCCACCATTCCGATCGAATTCTGTTGGTTAATTCTGAGATTGATTAATTCCGCCATCTACCATTTACCATTCGAGTTCTACGGCATATTCTTGCCATCCATATTCGTTTCGTTTTTACCGTCTCACATTTCTACTTCTTCGATTTAGTTGACGGTATTGGGAGCAAATAAGTCTAATAATCGAATTCTACGGCATATTCTTTCAATCCATATTCGTTTCGATTTTACCGTCTCACATATCTACTTCTTCGACTTAGTTGACGGTACCGATATCAAATAGTTCTACCATCCGATAGTTCTAACATCCTTTATTTTGGGAATTCTGCTCAATCCAGCAGCTTCTATTACCTAGTTAGTCAGTCACTCCTATCAAGTCTCAAACCAATCCAAAAATGTCAGAAGGACAAGAATCAATTCCCCAAGACGCGAGTCAGAAGAGGGAGGGAGCGCAGTTACCGCAGTTAGCGCCTTCAATAGATGGAAGTCAAAGGCGGGAACCGAGTCCGAGAAACACGGGCGCTGGACCTTCAGGTAATTTGAGATCCAAAGCCAAGAGCGCTTGCTTGAGTTCATAGCAACTAGCAACCGTCTCAGCAAATTTGAAAGTCAGATTTTTACGGCATCCGCTTTCGAGCCTAGTTTGTTTACCTTAAAGATCCGTCTGGATCAGATACAGTCCTTATGGGAAAAGGTTGGACAGGAGTATGAGACCGCTTCCAAAGCAGCTCTGCGCGAGGGAGGTAGCGGAAATCTTCCGCTACTTCAAAATAAATACGAGCACTGCTATGCCGTGTACGAAAGATGTGCTTCCAAGTTGAACGAAGACATCGACCGTCTGTCCGTCTCCACTTCACCGGCAAGAACAGCTCCGCCGACAGAGACATTCTCGAAGGGTTGCAGTCTTCCGCCATGCGATACAGAGATCTTTGACGGAGATTACCTGCGCTGGCCCACTTTTCGTGACCTTTTTACGGTCATTTATGTAAATAATTCCAGATTAACTCCAGTGGAAAGCTTTTCCACTTAAACGCAAAAACTAGCGGCGAAGCTCACGCCATTGTTTCTAAATCTCCACTGACTAATGATGGCGTCCAATCCGCGTGGTCAGCGCTTCAAGATCGCTTTGAGAACAAGCGATTGTTGGTAAACAGCCAACTAAAAATCCTGTTTAGTCTTCCGACCATAGGCAGTGAATCAGGCACGGTCTTGAAAGATCTTCAGAGCACAATCCAAGGGAGCTTGATAGCCCTTGAGCATTCACAAGTTTCCACGGAAAATTGGGACTGCCTTTTAATTTTCCTAATCTCCTCCAAGTTGCCGAAGGTCACTCTCTCATTATGGGAGCAGTCCTTGAGCAATAAGTCCGCAATCCCAGCCTGGGAAGAAATGAATTCCTTCCTCGAGGAGAGATATCGCACGTTGGAAGCAATTGAGGATGTCCGACCTAATTCTTCCAGCACACAGCATTTAAGGGAGCCCAGAAGTGCACAGCCAAGGATGGTAAACACCTTCGAGACACAAGTCGGGCCACGCGCATGATTTTGTGATCTCTGCTCCAGAGAGCCTCATCCAGTTCGGCTTTGTCCTCGCTTTCTCCAGATGACTCAACCATAAAGAGCATCATATATTAAACAAAAGAGATTGTGCCTTAACTGCTTTGCGAGGGGACATAATCTTCGTGAATGCACGAGCAGGCATAGTTGCTTCACATGCAGGGGACGGCATAATACGCTGTTGCATAAAGACAGTCCGTCTAATGCTGTTAGCACAGCGCCGGCTCACCCTCCTGAGCAGCCCACCTGAGCAGAACACTTCGGTTCATTTCGCCTCCAACCAGCAGGGAGTACTTCTAGGTACGGCCATAGTTCATGTGTGCCACCGAGGAGAGAATTTTCCAGCACGTGCCCTGATAGATTCAGGCTCCGAAGGCACTTTCATTTCTGAGAGGCTTGCCAACCGGATTAAACTTCCATTTCAAGCCGTAACAAGAGTCACAGGGCTGAACCAAGCCAATTCCGGTGTCTCACAAAAAATGTGTCATTTCCAGATGGGCACTCCGGCCAAACCTATGCTCAAGATCGACACGACGGCGTTTGTGCTGCCGAACCTGGCCGGCAATCTTCCGACAAGCACAATTGATCGAAGCATTCTTGATAGGCTGCCAAATATGCCATTGGCAGATCCGTCGTTTTTGCAGCCGTCTCAGATAGACCTTCTTCTATCAGGCTGGAGGCCAAACGTATGTGGGTCTTTATTAGCGCAAGAGACCATTTTCGGGTGGATTTTGACCGGCCCAGTGTCTTCAACCACTAGTAGGGTTTCGTCTTTTACCACACAGATATCCATAGAGTCCGGAGCAACCATGGAAACACATCTCACAAAATTTTGGGAGGTGGAGGACCTTCCATGCAGACTGGTAAAGGAGACGGACAAGTTGTGTGAAGACTTTTTCGTCCGAACAACTACCAGATCCTGCGACGGGAAATATATAGTATCCCTGCTGTCAAGGATTCAGAGCACATTGACTTGGGGCATTCGAGGAGTTCCGCACTCGCACAATATCTGAGGAATGAGACTCGCTTGAAGAAGGAGCCCGCTCTCAAAGACACTTATGACTCAGTGATCCAAGAATATATTGATCTTGGCCATATGAAGCCGGTGCCTCCGAATACTGACAAGATAAATTTCTATCTACCCCATCACGCAGTATTCAAGCCCGAAAGTGCGACCACGAAAGTTCGCGAAGTTTTCAACGCATCCAGTCCTTCTTCCAATGGGAACAGCCTTAATGACATTCTGTATCCAGGGCCAGTACTGCAGTCCGATCTCACTCTTCAAATCCTGAAGTGGCGGACGTTTAAATTCGTTTTCAATGCCGACATCACCAAGATGTATCGGCAAATTCTCCTAAACCAAGAGCACACTCCGTTTCAGAGAATTCTCTTTCGAAATGGCCAAGGGAATATATCCGACTTCGAGCTTCAGACGGTCACGTTTGGAGTGAATTGTGCCCCTTTCCTGGCCCTACGAACACTGCAACAATTGTCCGACGATGTCAACGCCCAATATCAACGGGCGTCGCATATAATTTCAAACTATATGTATGTCGACGATGTGCTAGCCGGAGCCCATACAGAAGCTGAAGCTATTTTAGCCATTCAGGAGCTGCAAGCAGCTCTGACCTCAGCTGGATTCCCTCTCTGCAAGTGGACATCCAATGAACGTGCACTCCTTAAAGCACTTCCTAAAGAGCATCTACTTTCGACTGATTTTCTTGATCTCGAAGAGGTCAGCACCACTAAGACATTGGGAGTACGGTGGAACGCTACGACGGATGAGTTCTATTTTGTCCCAACAGAGGTCACCATTCAGGCAAACTATTCGAAACGCGACGTCTTATCCCAAATCGCGAAATTGTTCGATCCAGCTGGGTGGCTCTCCCCATTTGTAGTTCAGGCCAAAATCCTGATGCAGGATATCTGGTTAGCCAGCGTCGAATGGGATGAGTTTCTTCCTGCAGACCTACTACATCGCTGGCATGATTTCCTTCGGAGCTACAGTTTCCTCCACCAAGTTCGCATCCCGCGTTGGGTACATTTTCAACCGGGAGTGCATGTCCAAATCCATGGTTTCTGTGATGCTTCCCAAAAGGCTTATGGCGCAGCGATTTACTTTCGCATCCAGTCGCTCCGGTAACAACCGTCTCGCTCCCGCGTCTAGAACTGTGTGGAGCCGTCCTTCTGGCAGACTTGTGGACTGCAGTTCTGCCTCAGATTCCCTTCGGTCGTATAGAATCTTTTCTATGGACTGATTCCACTATTGTGCTGGCATGGTTGAACAAGCCACCATGTCAGTGGACAACCTTCGTCGCAAATAGAGTAACTAAAATCGCTCAAAATGCTGATGCCAGCCAGTGGTCTCACATGCGTTCCGAGCACAACCCAGCAGATCTAGCCCGTCGTGGAGTAACGGCTGAAGAGCTGGCTACCAGTGAGCTGTGGTGGCATGGGCCCTCCTGGCTAACTCAGCAACAAGATACCTGGCCTGCGCCTTACGAACCAGTTTCCGACATCGACATCGAGAAGCGACTTATACGTAACCATTTAGCATGCCCGAAGCAGGACATGTTTGAACGGTTCTACAAGCTCGACAAGGCTCTACGAGCTTTCGCCTATGTTCAGCGCTTCATCCAACGCTCGCAAAAACGACCTATTCCAGGCGAGCTGCAGCTATCCAATACAGAGATTTCCACAGCTGAGCGACTCCTAATTTTCATGACCCAACGCAGATACTTTGCGCTTGAATATGCCTGCCTGAGCCAAAAGCGGCCAATTCCAGCATCCAGTTCTATTAAGAACATGAATCCTTTCCTTGATCCTCACGGCCTCATCAGGGCGTGTGGTCGGGTGACGGCCTCCGAAGTCCTCCAATATGATGAACGGCATCCGATTTTTCTTCCATACAACTGTCAGTTGGCGCGTCTCCTTGTATCCTTTACGCATCGCATATCCTTGCACGGCGGTAATCAGCTAATGGTACGCCTGATCCGCCCAAAATTCTGGATACCAAGGGTCATGAACTTAGTCAAGTCAGTAATTTTCTCCTGCAAAATATGTGTGATCCACAAAAAGAAGTTGCCGACTCAACTCATGGGCGAATTACCGAAAGAAAGAACGTCCTTTTCGCGGCTTTTTACGTACACAGGCATGGATTATGCCGGACCGTTTGACATAAAGAACTACACCGGGAGAGCCTGCCTGATTACCAAGGGCTATGTGTTGGTGTTTGTATGTTTCTCCACGAAGGCCATCCATTTAGAGCCTACTTCTTACCTCACAACAGAGAAGTTTCTCGCAGCATTCGCACGATTCGTCTCCCGAAGAGGGTGCCCTCGACAAGTTCAGTCGGACAATGGGAAGACCTTTGTTGGTGCAGCCGCAGTGCTGTCGCGTGAATTTCTGCAAGCTGTCAAGGAGTCCGTGACGAATGCTTATAGTCACCAGGAACTCCTTTGGCAATTCATACCCCCAAGAGGATTGTGGGAAGCTGGAGTTAAAAGCTTCAAGACCCTGTTTTATAAATCCACAGCCACTCGAAAGTATACGTTCGAAGAACTCTCCGCATTGCTGGCCAAGATTGAGGCCAGTCTAAATTCGCGTCCACTCGCCCCGATGTCCGAAGGCCCCACAGACTTGTTAGCACTCACGCCAGGTCATTTTCTAGTGGGTGGACCCCTTCTTGCCACCGTCGAGCCCGAAATTAAGGGTGCGTCCACTTCTATTATCAACCGGTGGCAGCACCTTAAGGCCTTTCATCAGCAATTCCGCCTGAGATGGAAGGAAGAGTACCTCAAGGAGCTCCATAAGCGAACAAAGTGGCAAGTCCCCACAAGAAATCTCGAGGTGGGCGAGATGGTTATAATCAAGGACGATAATCTGCCATCCAATGAGTGGCGGCTCGGCAGGATTGATTCCGTGTTTCCCGGACCCGATGGTCATGTCCGAGTAGTGAATATTCGTACTGCTCGGGGAATCGTTAAGCGCCCTGTCGCAAAAGTCGTATTGCTTCCGGGGGCGACCTCCGAAAAATCTCAAAAACTAGCCGTAACCTCAGTCCGTAGTTTGTTTCTTTCGCTAGTTCTAAGTCATATTTTCGACTCCATACTAATTCTTTCTTTTGTATCCTACTCCAGATTATAAACAATGATCCCACATCTACGTAGCGCCGTCGAAATGGAGAGCAGACGTACACGAGGTATAAATTCCTACCGTTGCCGAGTCTGCCACGGAGTCCACCCTCTACGGAAGTGCCGCAGATTCTTGCGGCTGAGCGTCGAAAAGAGGCTCCGCGCGGTCCTCGCGAATCGCTATTGCGCCAACTGCTTGGCTCACGAGCATTCGGATGGAGCGTGCCGCCGTGGCGATAGGTGCAAGATCTGCAACGGAGAGCACCACACACTGCTGCATATGCAAGAGCAGCCGCTGTATCGACGCCGTTCGCGTCAGTTGACGCCGTTCGCGTCAGTTGACGCCGCCCTCTCGTCGCGCTCCAGCTTCTGCTCACCACGCTTCGACCTCTCCTCGGCGCTCTTCGGCCTCTCCTCGGCGCTCTGCGGCCTCTCCTCAGCTCTCTTCGGCCTCTCCTCGGCATTCTTCGGCCTCTCCTCGGCATTCTTCGGCCTCTCCACGGCACTCGTCGGCCTCTCCACGAACCGCGGCATTCGCCACGTAGGGAGTTCCGACCGGGCCTTCAGTGGCCACTTTGCTGCAGCGACACAGCGTAAACCTCCTCCCGACCGCGCTGCGAGTGTTCGACACGGCGGCGCTCATCGACCCATGCACGCCTGTGAGCTGCATTGACTCGTCGCTGGCGGCTTCTTTGCGACTTGCGACGACCGCTGTGGGTGGTGAACAGATCTGTTCAGCCACCGTCGGCTCGAAAACGAACGCCCATGTCCGGCTCGATCTCGTTTTCAAAGTCCGCACTCCGATCCGACAGTTGGATGAGACTGTGCGGGCTTACTTCAAGGACATCACCTTAGCTGACAAACGTTTCTACCTTCCGGCTACGATCTCCGTCGTCCTGGGCGCGGATGTGTACCCTAAAGTGATGCAGCATGGGTTCCTGAAGGTGCAGGATGGATTGCCGGTGGCCCAAAGAACCGTATTTGGATGGGTCCTGTCCGGGGCCTGTCACACGCCGTAAGGAGGAGCAGACTATGTTGCAAGGGGGGCGGAATGTTCAGGTCAGGAGCTTTCGTTTCCCCCCCGCTTTTTTACATGCTTCTATGAATCGAATCGTACGTTTTTGATCCATAGAAGCATGTAAAAATTTTTTCGAAGACCCCTCTGAGAAAAAAGATATTACACATTGAGCGAAATTCTGATCGAAAAAATATCGCTCAAAAATTGATCATTATTTTTTGATCGAACTTTTTTCGCTCAAAATAATAATTATTATTCTTTGAGTGAGTAAGTAAAACTTAAAAATTAATAATTTAAATTGGTTTAATATATAAAAACTCTAGATTTCAGCAATCATTGGTTATCTTGAATGAGCATCCAAATTGTAGCCGATTGGTATAATTCGTTTCTTTGTGCGAATTTTCCAAGTTAATGATTTTTTTGTTTAAAGAAAACATTGATAATCATTATTTACAGTCCCTGGAATGTACAACTACCCGGAAGTTATTCTATGGCAGAGAACCGACTATTAAAAGTTGAGAAGAAGATGATACAGAACAAGGAGTATGGTGAGAAGTATAAAGCCGAAATAAACAAATATTTAGAGAAAGGATATGCAAGAAGACTCACAAATGACGAAGTACTGAACAAGAGAACATGGTATTTACCACACTTTTCAGTAGAGTCATTACATAAACCAGACAAATTACGTATTGTTTTTGATGCTGCTGCAAGTGTCAATGGTGTATTGCTCAATTCATCATTGTTAAAAGGTCCAGAACAAACAAATTCATTAATAGACATTTTATTGCATTTTAGGAAAGGAAAAATTGGAGTTGCAGCAGATATTAAAGAGATGGTTTCACAGATTCAAATTCGACCTGAAGATCAGTCTGCACAAAGGTTCCTCTGGAGAGAGGGTAATCCATCTAAGCCATTACAACATTTCGCCATGACTTCATTAATTTTTGGGGCAGTTTGTTCTCCGTACTGCGCCGAATTTATTAAAAACAAAAATGCTGAGAGATTTAAGGACTACGTGCCAGAAGCAGTTTTAGCCATCTTAAACCATCATTACGTCGACGATTTGGTAATAAGCTTCGACAAAGAGGAAAACGCTATAAAAGTTTGCAAAGACATTGTACACATACATGAAAGTGGAGGTTTTGAACTCAGAGGTTTTGTTTCGAACTCGGTACGACTGCAGGAGACGTTGAATGGAACAAAGGCTATACATAACATGTTGAAGATAGACGAACAAAACACACATGATAAAATATTAGGCATGTATTGGAACACAAAACAAATTTAAAACAAAATTTCATCGAATCTGGGTAGAGGTAATGCAAGGTCATCGTATATTTATGACCCTTTAGGATTTCTGGCCGGTTTCCACATATACGCGAACATATTAATACAAAAGACATGGAGCCGTTATATCGGATGGGACGAAACTTTGCCAGAAGACTTAAGACTAGAATGGAAAAACTGATGGACTGCCCTACAAGAGATGTCAGAATTTCAAACTCCCCGCAGTTATTCTCCTAGTTTAGATATCTGCAAATCCAAAGAGCTACACATATGTGTCGATGCAAGTGAGAAAGCTTTCGCTGCCGTCGCGTATCTCCGTCAAATCAAATCGAATGGCCTGCAATGAACATTTTTACACATAAAGAGACTCTTGAAGACGAAATTAAGATCAAAGCCATTTTAAACTGTCAAGTAAGTTATTCCTCTATCAATTTCGACAAATTTTCTTCCTTCTCAAGACTGACCAGAGTCGTCGGATGGGTTCTTCGTGCCAAGAAAATTTGGATGTCAAGGTCAAAAGTTCAACATTTGGGTCCTCTGTCTGCAGTCGAAATAATGGACGCCGAGAAGATCTTATGCAGAGCCGCTCAAGAGGAAGTATTTGGAGAAGAGATCCAAGCGATAACTCAAAATGCACAACTGTCGAAGAAGAGTTGCATATACAAATTATCACCATATATGGAACATGATGGTTTGTTACACATAGCTGGAAGAATCGACGCCGCAAATTGTTTACCTATCAGTGCTCGCCGTCTAATAATACTGCCAAAACACCACAGACTGTCTTTCCTAATAATGCAACATTATCACGTCAAGTATCACCATCAGAATGTTTCCGTAATCATTAATGAAAGCCGACAAAACTATTGGATACCACAAGCCAGAAGCCTACTAAAACGTGTTCAAAGAAGCTGTAATAGATGTATCGTTGATCGAAGTCAACCAGCTGTACCATTAATGGGCCAACATCCAATTGATCGACTATGTCCGTATGTCAGACCCTTTTCATATTGTGGTGTTGATCTTTTCGGACCCATTAATGTAACCATTGGTCGCCGTTGTGAAAAGAGATGGACAGCCATACTTACTTGTCTTACAATACGAGCAACTTATTTAGAATTGGTCGAATGCCTGTCAACAGATGCCTTTATTGTAAGCCTAAGGAATTTTGTAAATCGTCGAGGTGTTGCAGTGGTAATCAGAAGCGACAATGGCACGAATTTTATAGGAGCTCAAAAGGAACTATCTACAAATGACAGACTCTTCAACATTGATGCCCTGATTAACGAAACGGCTCGACAGAAAATTGAATGGATATTTAACTCCGCCGCTAACCCAAGTGCTGGCGGTTGCTGGGAAAGACTTATTCGCATTATAAAACTACTACTTAAGAAGTCGCTCTCTGACAGCACCACGCGTCAAAACACTACGTTCGGCACTAATTGAAGCAGAAAACATATTAAATTCCCGGCCATTAACAGAGCTACCAATTGAAGAAGAAGAGACCCTGACACCCAACCATTTCTTATTGGGATGCGCAAATACCACTCAAACACCAAATCCACCAGAGAATATTTTATGCATGCGAAAACAATGGAGAATTGTGGAAACGGTGGATAACGGAATATCTACCTCAACTGATTTGTCGACCTAAGTGGCACGATAAGCAAGAGCCAATCAAAATGGATGACTTAGTTATTATTTAGGATGAGTCCCTACCGCGAGAACAATGGAAATGAGGCCGAGTTGTGGAAGTGTATGCTGCGAAGGATGGTCAAATTCATTATTTCATTATTTTAAAACTTTGTAGTGAATTCCCGACGAATTCACCTGGCGGGGGGATTTAAAGAATTCAGTATTTGGTATTTATGATATAAAAAAGAACATTTCATATATAGAAAGTAAGATTTGTATCGATAGGTCTGGGATTAATGAACTAAAAAAGAACGGTCACACAGTGGTGAAATAGAAGTTGGCCGCAAAAGAAAACGAAATTGAAACGCGTCTTATATTTTAAAGCTGAACAAATGTTACTCATATACTTATTTCTATAATCATTAAATAATATTATTAATCTAACAAATTCTGCGTTTTTATGTCTACGGAACAATACAAACACTATACTGACAAACTGAACAGTCTTCAAGCACAAACTACCCAATAGTACAAACAGATCATACTAAACACCCCAACAATCTTCTCTTTCAAAGCCACAAACCTCAACAAAATAAATAAATAGGCTACGACTAGGACACACACAACTCACAAACGCCCATTATATGAATAGTTCCCTAACAAGTATCTGCCCCTTTTGCAACACCTCAGCGATAGACATCCAACACATTTTAATAGACTGCACTGCACTTTCACATATTAGAACCATTTGCTTTTCCCACGATAACCCAATCCATCTCCTTTCGAATCCAATAGCAGCAAACTCCAACAAAATCATATACTTTCTACATAAAACCAATCTCATACATAACATTTAATTTATAACATGTACCATACACATCTCCTTTTGTTAATACTCAGTAGAGCGGTAGGCCATAGCAGCCAATGCTCATTAATTTTTAGTTAACTTTTAGTATAAACTATGAGTTATCTTTATATAAATAAATAAATAAAAATCTAGATTTCAGCATTGATTATCTTGAAAGAGTATCCAAATTGAACCCGATTGGTATACTCGTAATTCGATTATATTTACGACCTTGCCAAGTGGACGATTTCTTTGTTTAAAGGAAAACATTAATAATCATTATTTACGGTCCCTTAAAAATTGACAACGAAGTAAATAAATATATATTTTAGTAGATGATTTCTTTGTTTAAAGGAAAACATTAATAATCATTATTTACGGTCCCTTAAAAAATGACAACGAAGTAAATAAATATATATTTTAGTATATATTATGTTAGAGGACCCGGCGAACTTTGTCTCGCCCCAATTTCACGACTTCATATAGCCCCAGAGTAATAATAGAACACTGGTAATTTAAATATGTATGTTGTGAAATTTTTTGACGCGAAATCAGTGTAGAGCGATGTGATAAACAATATTTTTTGTTTTGTTATCCGGTGCAAAAATAAATAATGATGACGGCTTTCCCACACGCGAATAGGCTACGTATGACTGCCCATGTGAAAAACATTGATATTCCAGATTTATCCCGCAGACTTCCAACGATTGGCCTTGCGATTTATTGATTGTCATCGTAAATGCCAATCGAACTGGGAACTGAATCCTCTTGAATGGTAGATCTGTTGGAATAATCGGAATTCGTGGGATAAGAACTTCCTCTCCTTTAAATTTGCCCTTGCATATGGCGCGGACTTCCAACATAAGTTGCTGGGAGATTGGTCAAACAACCGATGTTGTTCGCGTGTCTTACAGTAGTGATGGCGTCACGCAAGTGAATGTACTCGTCTGACCGCAAGTTCGACTGATTAAAACGAATAAACTTGAGACGTTCCGTTTTTACTTTGACGTACATGTCGACACAGTACTGTTGAAACAATCTGCGGTATCTTAACAGATGATTGTCAACATCTAGTCGAATCATCAATTGATACGCATAAAAATTCATAGAGTTAACCTTCTTATTCGTTTCTTCTCCTAAAAATTGAATTCAAACTTAGCTGTAGAATCAAAAAGAAGTGATGACTTGTAAACAAACCTGAAGTTGGATTGACCATCTTTATGTTGAAGTGATACCCATCTTCTCCACGATAGAACATCAACGGGTATTGAAGAGCATCATATGACCGATAAGTCTCATAAACTCGCTGCACTTGGCCATTATCCCGACGCTTAAAAGCAATATCGCGTGAATCCACATTCTCGCCAACAATCACCACTGCGACTTCATTGATAGTGGAAGCATTAAATTGTCTTGCATGGCTACCAATGGGTTTTTTGTCAGCTGATAATGATTTTGTGTTCGTCCAATGCGGTTTTGAACAATCTGACCAATTCATTATGCTCATGGAGAAGATTTTGCAATTGTTCGATAATTTTACGTTTAGTTGCTGTAAAAATTGCACAGCGGTGATTTAGTTCATATTTGTTTTGTGGTGATAACAAAGCGCCCGCTCGGTAGTGAATTTGCCCTTGAATCTGGATGCAATTTCTAAAAAATGTGAGTTGTTAATTTTGATAATAAAGAGACGCCATTACCTTATAACTTGGATTTTAGCCTGATTGATGAAAAGCCTCGGCTCCAAATGACGTCATTTGAAAGCATCCGTTATATTTTTGTACAAGCTTTAGGAAACTGTTTCATTTGGGCTGAATTTCCATATAGTAGCGAATACAATGGCTCTGGTGGATGAGCCAAAATGGGCAATTTAATTTTGCTACCTGCTGTAGTATGCACACATATTGAATACGCACTGTACCCAGAGTACTTAAAGAGTGCGCACTGTAATACAATGTTGCAGTGTTTATACAAATCAAAGTCCCGGTCATAAACCATAAGTGGCCGAAATATGAACCGATCGCTAAGGCATAGCCTGCACTCAGAAAGTGCTAGTGTCGGCATATTTACATCGAACGGACTACACGCGCATACCCCCTCGCGCCTCCACTCGTGAGCGCATAGCTAAAGTATATAAGTACATTTACTTATACATAAGAATACTTATACATAACCGTCTCTCTGCCGCCGCCTGTGAGCAGCGCAGCTACGAGACCTAGCTTATATTATAACTTAAGGAATATTGTAAGATCACTAACTCTTGGAGCCTTGGAGCGGCATCACAGCTGCACCTAAAAACCAACTGTTGAACCCTGGAGCGGCACCATGGCCGCACCAAGATAAAAACCAAAAATACAAAGTTCTAATAAAATCGTTCAAATAAATTAAAACTAAAACTCCTGGACTTATCCTTGGGAGGATTTGTGGTCGGCGGAACAAACTTATTTCATGGCGACCGTTGCCAGTGAATGAGAAACCTGCAACAAGAAAAAGTGAAAAGTGAAAGTGCACTAAATAATAATGTCCTACCCTAAGCCCCAAGGGGTTAAAAAGGGTAATTTCCCCGCATTCTTGGAATGGGATGCGTTTGAGGTACTATTCGGCATCATCGACAGAGGTGTTACGGACACTGAAGACATCGCATTGGAAGTGAGAGCTTACTTTAACACACACCACGGGGGAAATTGGCAGTGCATCGCGGGAAGAAATCTCGGAACAGCAGTCGACTCTGCACACGAGGAATTTATTCATTATTTCTACGACATGGAAGTCGTGCTATACCGACCTAAAACAAGTGATAATCAACAATAGTGCGTTATGAAAAGGGCTGGCGTGAAAAATCGCATGAAGAAAAGAATAGCCCAGTTAAAGTGGCTTTTGTATACCAACGAGCCACCACCGCCGTGGGCTGCAGCGCAAAAATTACAAGCTGAATTGGACTTCCTAAAAATCGAAGTAAAGAAACCAACAACAAAAAGCACCACGACTCCTAACACCGCCGACCAACGAGTAAAAACAACATACGCAGCAAAAACAGTGCCACCACTACCTAAACAAAATCCGCAAAAATCGCAGAAGTGCCCGAATGACTGCCCCGGACCCCTATACTCGGTTACATGTGAATATACGTGCATGAACCAGAAGACCTGTGCGAAGACCAGCACCGGTACCGCCTGAGCCCATAGGCCCAGGACAACTGCAGCTGAATAATAACCTGTGCGAAGACCAGCACCGGTATCGCCTGAGCTCATAGGCCCTGGACAGCAGCAGCCGATAGCGCAAGTGTGAGGGGCAGGCCGCCTCTTACACCTTCGAGGGAGCGTCAGCGAAGCCAGACCGGCGACGACCAGCTGACGCGGACGACATTGGACTCCGGAGAAGCAGAATATACAAAACTTTGCACTGCGTTGCATATTTTTTTGCGAGTGTACTGCGATGCACCTTTTTTTTACACCCACCTTGTAAAATTGAGCGGAGTCCTATCTGCCCGATTAGCAGCGTAGCCTGTAAAGCTATGCGACCAAGTAGGCAGGAATACTGTTAAAATTTTATGCGAAGCAACGCTATAAGTAAATACTCGACAGAAGAGTTCAATAACATAAACAATATAGAATTTGAAACAAAACCCATAAAAATGACACTTGATATAAAAACAGTGGACTCCACTGCTAACGTAATCAACAAAGTAGAGTCCAGTAACATAGACTTATACTGGGTCCATATCCTATTAATAATCATTGTTGTTATCATGTGTGCCAATTTTTTCTATAAAATTTACAAATTGCACAGCAGATGCCTAAAGAAGAAATACATAAGCCGGGGAAATGACCTGGACAAAATTTGAGAAACAAAAAAGGCCACTAACAACAGTGATTAAACAAAATGTTTAATAATTAAAATTTGAATGAAATACTAAAAATAAATACAAATACCAACACAAACACCTCATACATTTCAATGGCTAAGTCAAAGGTATGGATTGGAATGCAATTTATAACGAGTTAGCAGGCATAAAAACAAATTTTGATAAATCGTACAAGTCCCTAGCTCAGAATAGACCAATCCAGAAGAACACTGTTAGGAAACACGTCGAAATATTGGTAGAGTGTTTTAACGAAGCACGTATACTAATATATGAGCATAAAGATAGGTTGACTCAAGATCATTGGACACAAGTATCTAAACTTCTGATACGCCTCCGATCGAATCTATTATTTGTTAAACAGAAATTCGGTTTGGAAATATCGGTACCAACCGTATTAACCATACCAATAGCAGTCTCCACTGCGCCTGACCCCGAATCGACAGAAACAGACGAGGAAGAGTCAGAAGAGCCACCTGAAGTAAGTCCGAAAATAGAAGAAGAAGATTTAAACAATCTCACTATTCCGGCAGTATACACTGATCTGGATTCAACGGATTCAGATACTTCAGAGAGCTCGCAAAATAACAAACTAAACAGTACAATCACCATGGCCGACGAAACGATTGCCCAAAGGGCATACATTAAAGAAATTTCGAGTGCCATACCCGAATTCAACGGCCAAAAATTACATCTGCAAAGATTTGTAACGGCCTTGAAGTTAGTTAATCTAACGAAGGGTACATTTGAACATATAGCTGTAGAAGTTATTAAGTCCAAAATTGTAGGATCTACTCTTTATAAAGTTCAAGATGAAACAACCATAAACGACATAATCAGAAAACTTCAGGATACAGTAGTCGGCGAAACATCCGACGTAATAAAGGCCAAAATGGCCAAGACTGTCCAGAAAGGCAAAACAGCCGAAAAATTTACTACCGATATTGACAATTTACGGAAGCTCCTCGAAGCTTCGTATATCGACGAAGGCCTCTCAGCCGAACACGCTGATAAATTCAGCACGAAGGAAGCCATCTCCACAATGGTCAAAAATTGTGAGCATGGCCGACTGAAGACAATACTGGAAGCTGGCAACTTCACAACAATGAATGAAGCCGTCACTAAGTACATACAATGTAGTACTGAAATGACGGGAAATGCCAATACCATATTGTATGCGCAAAGAGGTAACAACTATCGCGGTAATAATTATAGAAATAATTATCGCGGTAGAGGTAATAGCCGAGGTTACTACCGAAATAATGGCTATAACCAAAACAACCAGAATAACGGTCATAACCGCAGCTATAATAATAATAATAATAACAATAATTATTATAGAGGAAACAACCGTGGCGGAAACAACCGCAGCGGAAACAACAGCGGATCAAACCAAAATAACCGTAACAACCAGAACAATGTCCGATTGGCTCAAACCAATTCGGAAAACCAGCCAAACCCTTCAGATATCTAGAGCAAACAACTAGCTCTATCAAAACCGTCAACCTTAATCTAAGCATTTTCATAAAAATAAAAAACGAAAGCACACGCAAAAGTTATACTCTGTTACTTGATACTGGTGCAGACATATCTATATTAAAAGATAATATAGATAAATTTGAGATAATCAATGATAAAGTACAAACCGAAATATCGGGAATAGGCGAAGGAACCATATTTTCAACTGGCTTAGCCAGTGTAGAACTCACTAATGGCAAATATATCATCCCACACGACTTTTACTTAGTCGACCAAAGTTTCCCAATACCTTGCGATGGCATACTAGGTATTGACTTCATAAAACAATACAATTGCCAACTAGATTTCACACAAAGAGGCGACTCACTAATTCTTCGTCCAGATAACTTAAATTGTTCAATTGAATTGCAAATACTTCACTCTTGTGAAAGTAATGCCACAGTGCTCCCCGCACGTTCCGAAGTTGTCCGAGAAATACGAATTCCCTCAGCAGAAAATCAAATTCTGATATTAAATCAAGAAATTGAAGAAGGAATTTATATCGCAAACACGATATCCGACCACAATAATACTTTTGTCCGAATCATAAATACAACGAATGCCACAAAAATTGTAAGCTTAAACAGTATTAAATATGAAACTTTGCATAATTATGATATAATAAAAGGAAATAACGAAGGAAGAGATGAATTCGTTATGAGTAAATTAACTAAAAACTTCCCGCCTTTATTCAAATCTCAATTAAAAGATCTATGCACCAGATACACAGACATATTCGGACTTGAAACCGAATCAATAACAACAAATAACTTTTACAAACAAAAGCTTAGACTAAAGGATGACGAGCCAGTATATATCAAGAATTATCGAAGTCCGCACAGCCAAGTGCAAGAAATTCAAGACCAAGTACAAAAGCTGATAGACGACAAAATAGTCGAACCATCAGTATCCCCTTACAACAGCCCACTCTTATTAGTTCCGAAGAAGTCCCTCCCGGACTCTGACAAGAAGAAATGGCGATTAGTAATTGACTATCGTCAAATCAATAAAAAACTATTGTCAGATAAATTCCCTTTACCTAGAATTGATGATATTCTAGATCAGCTAGGTAGAGCTAAATATTTTTCATGCCTAGACTTAATGTCGGGTTTCCACCAAATCGAACTTGAAAAAAGTTCCAGGGATATAACGTCATTTTCAACGAGCAATGGCTCGTATCGCTTCACGCGATTACCGTTTGGCTTGAAAATAGCCCCAAATTCATTCCAGAGAATGAGGACTATTGCTTTCTCGGGATTAGAACCGTCACAAGCATTTCTTTATATGGATGACTTAATAGTCATAGGTTGTTCCGAAAAACACATGCTTAAGAACCTAACTGATGTTTTTGAGACATGTAGGAAACACAACCTAAAGTTACATCCTGAAAAATGTTCATTTTTCATGCATGAAGTCACATTTTTGGGACATAAATGCACTGATAAAGGAATCTTGCCTGACGACAAAAAATATGATGTTATAAAAAACTACCCAGTCCCGCATGACGCGGACAGCGCTAGACGATTCGTTGCATTTTGCAATTACTATAGGCGCTTTATAAAAAATTTTGCCGATTATTCTCGTCACATAACTAGGTTATGCAAAAAAGATGTAAAATTCGAATGGACATCGGAATGCCAGAATGCCTTCGATCATCTTAAAACGGCATTAATAAATCCAACCTTGTTACAATATCCAGATTTTTCTAAAGAATTCTGCATAATAACTGATGCAAGTAAACAAGCGTGTGGAGCGGTTTTAACTCAAAACCATAATGGACTCCAACTTCCTATTGCATACGCATCAAGATCCTTTACTAAAGGAGAGAGTAACAAGAGTACTACTGAGCAGGAATTAGCTGCTATTCATTGGGCTATAAAACATTTTCGACCATATATTTATGGCAACCATTTCACAATAAAAACAGATCATAGACCATTAACTTACTTGTTCTCAATGGTAAACCCAAGTTCAAAACTGACACGTATGAGGCTTGAATTAGAGGAATTTGATTTTACGGTAGAATACCTGAAGGGCAAGGATAACTACGTAGCTGATGCGTTATCAAGAATAACCATCAAAGATTTACAACAAATCACAGGATCTATAAATAAAGTCACTACAAGATATCAAAGTAGACAAAAATTCCGCGCGGAACATCAAGAAAAAGAATTGCCAACGCAATTTCTGAGTAAAGCTTCTAAGCCCAACGTTTACGACGTCATAAACAATGACGAAGTACGTAAAGTAGTGACCTTGCATATAAAAGATATGTTGTGTTTATTTAAACATGGCAAGAAAATTATTGCAAGATATGAAGTTAGCGATCTATATACTAATGGAGTTATCGACTTAGGTCAATTTTTCCAAAGGCTTGAAATGCAAGCCGGTATACATAGTATCAGCCAACTCAAAGTGGCACCGTGGGAAAATATCTTTGACACAATATCAATAGATAATTTCAAATTAATGGGCAATAAAATACTGAAATCATTAAGAGTAGCGCTACTCAACCCGGTGACCCTAGTATCAAAAGATACAGAGAAAGAAGCTATTTTGTCTACGCTACATGATGATCCAATACAAGGAGGTCACACTGGCATCACAAAAACCTTGGCCAAGGTCCAGAGACACTACTACTGGAAAAATATGTCCAAAGACATAAAAGAGTACATAAGGAAATGTCCAAAATGCCAAAAAGCTAAAATAACTAAGCATACAAAGACCCCTTTAACAATTACAGACACCCCAACACATGCATTTGACAGAGTGATAGTGGATACCATCGGACCACTACCAAAATCTGAAAATGGTAACGAGTATGCAGTCACATTAATATGTGATCTAACGAAATATTTAGTTGCAATACCGATTCCAAATAAAAATGCTAATACCATAGCAAAAGCTATATTTGAATCTTTTATTCTGAAGTACGGTCCAATGAAGACGTTCATTACGGACATGGGAACCGAATATAAGAATTCAATCATAGATGACTTGTGCAGATATATGAATATAAAGAATATCACATCAACAGCACATCACCACCAGACCGTTGGAACAATAGAAAGAAGTCACAGAACTTTCAATGAGTACATACGATCCTACATATCGGTTGATAAAACTGATTGGGACGTATGGCTTCAATATTTTGTCTTCTGTTTCAACACGACCCCCTCTATGGCACATACTTACTGTCCATATGAGTTAGTGTTCGGTAAAACAAGCAATTTACCGAAACATTTTAATAGCATAGATAGTGTAGAACCACTTTATAATATAGATGACTATTCTAAGGAATCTAAGTATAGGTTAGAACTAGCTTATAAAAGAGCTAGAGTAATGCTAGAATCAAATAAGAATAGGAATAAATTATTATACGACCATAGGGTTAATGATATAGATATATCAGTAGGCGACCAAGTTTTGTTAAAAAACGAAACAGGTCATAAGCTAGATGTTAAATACACCGGTCCTTACGTTGTAACGGAAATAGGTGATAGGGATAATATAGTCATAGCCAACGATAAACGTAAGACCCAAACAGTTCATAAGGATAGGTTAAAAATCTTCATTTCATAATTTGCATTTAGTATGGCCATACACATTCATAAATACATACTCATATCCACACATTAATACACTTACACAATACACAAAAAAAAAAAAAAAAAAAAAAAAAAAAAAACAAAACACAAAAAAAAAAAATAGCAAAAACCCATTAAAAGTGTATTAATTATAAACATTAGTATAAAATAACTTCATTATATTACGTTATTTTTCAAAAGGAGGGAGATGTAGTATGCACACATATTGAATACGCACTGTACCCAGAGTACTTAAAGAGTGCGCACTGTAATACAATGTTGCAGTGTTTATACAAATCAAAGTCCCGGTCATAAACCATAAGTGGCCGAAATATGAACCGATCGCTAAGGCATAGCCTGCACTCAGAAAGTGCTAGTGTCGGCATATTTACATCGAACGGACTACACGCGCATACCCCCTCGCGCCTCCACTCGTGAGCGCATAGCTAAAGTATATAAGTACATTTACTTATACATAAGAATACTTATACATAACCGTCTCTCTGCCGCCGCCTGTGAGCAGCGCAGCTACGAGACCTAGCTTATATTATAACTTAAGGAATATTGTAAGATCACTAACTCTTGGAGCCTTGGAGCGGCATCACAGCTGCACCTAAAAACCAACTGTTGAACCCTGGAGCGGCACCATGGCCGCACCAAGATAAAAACCAAAAATACAAAGTTCTAATAAAATCGTTCAAATAAATTAAAACTAAAACTCCTGGACTTATCCTTGGGAGGATTTGTGGTCGGCGGAACAAACTTATTTCACTGCACAGCATAAGCCAAGGGTTACCAACCGAAACTTCAGTGCATTACAATGCTGACATACGACAGACAATGAACCAATAAGAACGCAGCTAAGATCTTTGTCGGGTGTTTCAGAATTGTATGCGAATGCAGCGCGATTCAAGTTTTCATTCGCGGTTCGTCTTCCTCTATTATTTTGTCGGGCTTGAGGTGGTCTTTGTGCAGCGCGAAGCTGTGCCATTTGGGCACGTATAGATGCATTTATTTCTGTACGTTTCTCCTGCGTCCGACTATTACGGAAATTCTGATTACTTATTGCATTACGTGAACGCCGTCCAAGACTTGATCGTCAAACAGCAGGCATTACTTTCAATTGTTTGTTGTTTGTATTGTTGGTATTGATTCGTTAACTCGATTTTTTTGTTTAAATATTTTTTTACCGATTTCATTGATACACAATGCCAACGCAGCTATGATCTTTGTAAGGTGTTTCAGAATTTTACATACAACAGTGTCTACATCTGTTGAGCCGCTAGCGACTTTTTCGGAAGGTTTTCCCAAAATGTAATGTATGTAATAACCTTCTACTGGCAATTACAAACAACTGAAAAAAAATTTG